TTAACTTCTTCCTTTCCTATCTTTATTGCTTTAATTTCTTTCTCTTGTCTAATTGCTGTGGCTAATGTTTCCAGAACTATATTGAAGAGAAGTGGTGATAGTGGGCATCCTTGTCTTGTTCCTGATTTTAACATGAAGGTTTTCAGTTTTTGGCCATTCAATATGATGTTGGCTGATGGTTTTTCATAAATAGCCTTTATTAAATTGAGGTATAGACCATCTATTCCAATTTTTTGCAGGGTTTTTATCATGAATGGGTGTTGAATTTTATCAAATTGAGCTTCCAATTTCATTGCAAGCTTCTACTTACTGATATATAACAAATAAACGTATTTGTCTTCTTTTGATTTTTCTTTTTTTTTTGGTACTGGGAATCAAACTCGGGATCTTTTGCTTGCGAGGCAGGTGGCAGAACCACTAAACTAAATCCCCTCTTCTTTTGATTTTGAAGTTCTACTTTCTCTCAATTTTCAATCCTGCATTTCTGGACCCTCGCGAATATTTCGACCTGAGAGTACTGAAGATTCTAAAAACAGACACTTAAAACTGAAGTTATTTCTCATTCCTCACTGTGCCTTGTTTGTATCTCCTCCAAATTGTCCTAGCACATTTCATTGTACCTGTGGCACTGTCATCTATTAAAGTTGTATAAGCCAGGACCCTTGGCAAAATCTTAGATTCCAATTTCACTAATCACTAATCCAATTAATCATAACTCCAGGCAGTTATAGTTTGTCCCCTCCTCTGTATCCGCACTACTTTAGGCCTCTATATTTTAATGGAGTCCTAACTAATTTCTTTGTACTAGGTCAGTGGTGGCAAACCTAGAGCACACATGTTCATGCATATTATTTTTCTTTTAAGACAAAGGATATTAATGTATGAATTGTTTTTTCTAAGCTAAAACCTCAGTATTCAGGTTTATAATTGCAGTGTTGGCACTTTGTGATAAGTAAGTGAGTTCAGGGTTGCAGTCTGTGCTCTCATCTAAAAGATTTGCCACCAGTGCACTAGGTCTTGGCTGCCTTTAATCCAACTACTGTGCTGACATTAGAATGATCTTTGTAACATACAGATCCTTTCATTTCATACCTTTGGTTACTTCATTCACAGAATCCCCTTTGTCTAAGCATTTTAATTAGTACAGTATACCATGCTTTCTGGAGTCTGGCCTTTTCCTTTTTCCTGCCCTTTTCGCCATTAGACCTAAGCTCTCTAAACACACTTATAACAAACCATACCTTACTCAAGTTATTCCCTCTGCTAGAATGCTTTTTTGCTCAATTTACCTACCTAGTATATACTTTTTCATTTTAGAAGCCTCAAGTCAACATTTTCTCCTCTGGGAACTTCTTGGAAGTCCCTAGGGCAGATTTAAAGACTTACTTACCTACCTGATATATTGTGCACATATCTTCATTACAGTACTGGACGCAGGCTATGATAATTGCTGGCTTACAGGAGTCTCAACCACAAGCCTCTAGGCTCTATAAGGATAAATGCTTTGTCTGCTGTGTTTCGGGGGGACTAAGACACTGCTTGGCATGGAAGAATTCAATAAGCATGTGCTGAATGACTGAATGATACATGACTATCAAAAAACTTTATCATGACACTGTAACAATATGTACAGGACATGTTCTTGTGTGTGAGTTCATAAAGAGTCAAGAAGTAGTAAAGCTACACAAGGCAAGATCTAAAGTCACAAAATAAAACAAGTTTAACAGGCAATATATATAATATAGTGCTTATTACACTTTTCTACCGAAGTACTACTGACATCAGAAGACTGGTGTCTCTGAGGGATCTGATGGCAGACTAATAGAGATGATAAAACATCAACATTCACTCTAAATTGAAAGTGTTTTAGAAGAAGAAATGGATGAATGTAACCACACTGTATACCTAAAAAATACCAATACACAGTGAGGGGAAAAAAAAAAGTACAAGAAATGTTCCAAATTAAACATGTTTATCCTGTGGGATCCAGGGACCTCTGGCATAATTATGTACTTTTCAGATGGGGCTGTGAGCAGTGTCAGTATCACAGTTAGCCAAATGTAGAGCAGAAACAGTTATCACACTTCAAGTCACAATTTCCACTTTGGGTCGTGGGGAGGGGTCTCTTAGGCTGAAACCTGGGAGTCTACTTTAATCTCTCTGAGGCTCCTCAGTTTCTTTATCTGGAAAATGACTATAATTTGCTTTATATGTTTCATAATATTGGTGTCAAGACCAAAAGAAAGAATAATGTAAATAATGAAGGATTACAAGCATAGAAAAATAAAGGAGTATTTTATACAGGAAGAATGAAAAATAACAAAGAACATATGCAACACATATTCTTGAAAACATTTACCTTTTGAGGAGCTAAAGGATTTTCTGTTTTGGATTTTTCCTCGGGGGTTAAAGGAGGGGATCGCTTCTTTATCTCTGGAGGCAGTTCCTGATACAGTGCTGGAATTGAAAAAGGAATTCATGCAATTAAACTGGGGAGCATTGTTCCATGGGGGGGCAATGATGGAGGGCAGCAGGTAAGAAATTAAAGAGAAATAGATACTCAATTCCCTCTTGTAACAAAAAGCTATGTAGCACTTATTTGTTGTCTTACATATTACTTATGATGGCCAATCAGGACTTCAGAAATGTAGACGGTATTATTTTCACTCACTATGCAGTCATATGGATGCTTATTTCATTTTATCTCAATATACATTTACCAGGGCTCTGCTGTACATAGAATTATTTGCTAGGTCCTACCAGAGGAGTGATGAAGATGAACAAAAGAGTCTTTACTCTCAAGATTGCAAGCTGGTCACAGGCATGTTTGTAAGTGTACCATAATGTGTCCTTATTTGAGATGAGATTGGGCACGTTCAAGGTGGTATGGCCATAGATAATGTGTCTTTATTTGAAAGAGAGCTATGTAGAAAGGCAAAGTGATAGAAAGTTGGAAAACGCTGAGGGGAATAAGCAGGTATGACACATCTGAAGAACAGGTAAGGTTTTGCCAGGCAGAAGTGTGGACAAGGGATAATCTGGAAATACTGAATGAAATGAATAAGTATGGAGTAGGCTAAACATATTAAATGTCAGATTCTCACAACCTAATATTACAAACCAATCTATGAAGTCTACTGAATTGACCTATGGGGGTTTAAATCTACAGAGTCTTATGGAAATTTAAAGAGTTAGAAAGAAAATCCATTTTCAAACTGGTTAAAAGAAATTTTGAATTGAGAGAAGTTTCTAAATCTAAACCACATTTGAGATGCATTCACTGGCTTTGTGTATGGGTTGGTATTATTATTATTGGATTTCTTTATCTTTTACACAAAACATTGTTAGATATGATTAAGGGAAGCTGATCATGTTTTCTTTCCAGTGGCTAGAGATACAAAGAAAGTAAATCCTTTATAATAATGGGGTACCATCTTCCACTGCACTGTTCTCTTAAAGGACACAGCTCTCATTGAACATCAGGGAGAAATTTTGCTCACATACTTTCTTAGATCATTTGCTTTGCATATTTGGCTTTAGATAAAGATCAAGGACAGTTCCTTCTACTTACAGAGAGGAATGTGCTGCTGAGAGTCATTTTTCTCTATTAAAACTGGACAGTTACATTTTTGTTAAAGTCAAGTAAAAAAACAGGATAAAAAGGACAGAAAAATAACTTCTGATAAAGCGTGAGAATTCAATTATTATGTTTGTTAAGTATTCAAAATTTCTTTTCTGTTTGTTCTGGCCTCTATAAGGCTTTTTATAAGAACAAGTGAATGAAGCAAAAAGAAAACATCAATTATTCTGAGACATAATAAGAGATTTTATCAGGTTGCAGGATGGTCACTACTTGAGACAAAGAATCTTGTATGCAGCCGTTGACTGATTATCACAGATCTGTTTCAGGGATGATTTTGGTTATTATAAAAGAAAAACAAGTTTTATTAGAGTTTAACTTATTGTGGACTATCTCTAGCCTCTCAAGATTGGTAGGCCTGTGAGGTTATTTCTGTAAGCCAGCTAGCTAATGTTACAGCACCTAATATCATCCTGCCTAGAGGCACACAATCTTTTTATATCCAAGTGAAAAAAAAATCTATAAATGTTTTCACTTGTATCTGAAAGGAACAATGAATTATAATATTGAGTTAAAATTACAGACATCCTTCACAGTGACTATGATTGTGTGGCAGCTCTTGATTTAAGAACAGGAGCTACCCCTGCTTAACCACAGCTATTGAGCCTCTGTGAGCACCATCAGTGAGAAGAGGAGGAGGTACCGTGGATATTTTCAGCAATCTGTAAGTTAGAAGTGTTGATCGTATTAGAGATGAGTTAAACACTGTCATACACTGTACATACTAGGAACTAACCTGTCCTAAAATTTCTTCCAAGTTTTCTCCATTATGCATTCTCTTTTAAACATAAAAATATATCTGTAGTAGACTTCAAAAGTTATCAGACATTTATTAGAGAAAAATAACTAAAACTGTCAGAGAAAATTAAGAATCACGTTATGTGACACAGAAGTGGATAATTTTTTAGAGCACTTGTCAGAGGAGGAGTTTGCTCAAGGTGGCAGGTAGGAGGCAAAACCAAAATATATGGTGTGTTTAAATAAAAAAATTATTGCAGTAAAAGATATATTGCATTAATTCCCCTCAAAATACTCCCTCTCACTTACAGTACACTTTTCCCACTGGTCTTGCCACTTTCTAAAGCAGTTCTGGAAGTCCTCTTTCATGACCATCTTTAGTAATTGTGCTGTTATGGCTGCGTTGATGTCCTGAATCAATTCAAAATATTTACCTTTCATGGTCATGGATTTAGACGAAGAGCTATAGGATGTGCAGTACCACATTCAGTGAATAAGACAGATGAGACACGCTGTGATGTTTTTATAAGCCTGCCTTTCCATTGGAAGGCCCCTGGCAGTAGCATTTACCATATTTTTTATCACACTTTTTTTTTCCACCAGGGATCGAACTCAGGCCCTTGCACTTGCAAGGCAGGTGTCAGAACCACTGAGTTAAATCCCTGGCCCCTTTGATCACACTTTTTAAAGACACTCATAAAAGAAAATTTCCAGAACTGCTTCAAAAAGTGGTAAAGAATGACAAGATAATTGTGTTCGAAGTGTGTGTGTGTGTGTGGGGGGGTGTATCCTGAGGGGAATTAATGGCACGAGTCTTTTAGTTTAATACATTAAAAAAAACCCTCTAAACATGCATTGTATTTTTTGCATCACCACTTGGAGGCTAAAGAAGGGATCTGCAGAGTCTTGGGGCCACTTGAGACTGAGAAAGATCAGGTACAGGCAAGATGCCACAGATAAATAATTCTATCTAGACCTATCTGTGCACTGAGTAATCAAAGAAGAAATTATTTCTCCTTTTCTTCAGATCATTTGTTCTCAAAATTGAGAAGTTAGGTTAGGAATCATTGCTTGGGTCAAATGGGATTTCATGGACTAGTCTGAAAACCATTATTTATCAACAATTTACTTCTCAGCAACAAAGATTCAACAATAAATAGTGAAAATATACTCTCAATTTACTACATGTTAAGCCTAAACATATGACTTTAATGTTTCTGGAAGAAAGCTCAGAGTTGACACAGCTCAATATCTTCATTTCACAGGAGGAAACTGAGGCACAACTACTATAAGCTGCTGAGCAAGGATTAAAAGTCTGTTTTCCTGACCCCTCTGACTTGTGCTTTTCTTTGTATCAAGTTAACTGCCGATAGGATGCATACTTCTGCATTTGATCTTAACCAAAAGGCTGAGAAGCAACAGGATGTATTCTTCTAAAAAGTCCTATTTCTTAGTTTTCCCTTTTTGTGATAGTTTTAAATTATTTTCAAGCTTGCTGTGTTAGTTCTATTTTCATCTCTCGAAGTCTAAGACTGAATCTATAGCTTTCAGAAACTCAGAGAATTTTGTCTTTCATTCATTTTTTCCTTTCACAAATGAAGGTACAGTGCATTTAAGGAAGCTAATGTACTTTTATTAGGTAACAGCTTCGATGGATATACACAAATAAAGGAGTAGGAGGTGAGGAACTGGAAGCTCTTATGCTGGTCAACTGAGGGGACAGAATTGCATGCAGCAGGTGCCAGGGTACAAGGGGATGAAGCAGCAAGCTGGTAGCTTGAGGGCAAATCCCCATGGATGACAAGTGCTATCAGGAAATATTCCAATCTCAGAATGAGACAGTTTTCTGGCACATTAGTGCCTCCTTTTTTTATTTTCTGCATCATGAGTATGAAAAGTAATACCCATTGGTAAACGCAGGAAAAGATTATAAAGACAGTAAATTAAAGAGTAGAAAATGATAAAATCTTGGACTATCAGTTATACCATATTAGGAAGGGAGCATAAAACTTACTTTCACTAGCCACATGATTAGCTGGAAAATAGCCTTCCTGTCCCTTTCCTATGCTGCCATACCACCAGTCTTCATTATCTTTGAAAAACACTCGGATAATGTCTCCACGATGGATGGTTAGTTCATCTGATCGGCTTGCTGTGTAGTCATAAAGAGCCACTACCTAAAAGAGAGATAAGACCACCACAGCTTTATCACAACTGTGCCACAGAGAAACCCCCAACACTCACTTCCTCTTGCAGAACAGCAGCTGAAACCAAAGCAGTACTTTGGTAAGTCTGAGGCTGTCTCAAGGTTTGCTAATGGGATCGGGGGTGGTGGGAACACAGCAGGAGAAGCAAGATAAAAGACTGTGGGATTGAGAAATGGTTAAGGGCATTCAACACACTAAGATTAGCTTCAAAATAGCAGATGTTAATTTTTAAAAGTAAATGACTGTGAAGCAAATTAAAAAAAAAGCTCACACACCATTTACTTTCTCAGAAATTCTTTATATACTATACCTTTAGATCTCATTTTCTGCACTAGGCAGATGCATGTGAAAGATAATTCTTTAGAAGGTTAATAGTTTTGCCAAAAGGAAAAGTCCTATAGGACAACCTGATTGCCTAATTCTACTGTGATCATTTGATTTATTGTCATTTTCTCTTTTCAGAGATAAATTTCTGTAGAAAAACATAGCTTTTAGTGTTTTAAATCAACAATCTAAATCTTCTGACTACATTAAAAAGTATCCATATAAACTGACTTTTGCCATATACACATTTAAGAGGAAAGCCCTTTCTATGAAATCTGCTTCTTTGTGTTGCTACAATAATCATTATATTTAATTTTTTGTCTTTTGAAAAATTCAAGTCAGAATCATAGGGCAGTGATTGCACATTGTTTAAAAATGCTTTATGGCACTTAAAGGGAGGGAGATTTCAATCTATTTTAGAACTGATACAATGTAGAAAGCAGGGCATTATATA